GAGGAGGAGGAGGAGGAGGGAGGGAACAAGGAGGAAAGAGGAAGGGAAAGGAAGAAAAAGAAGAAAAAAGGATGGAAAAGCAAGCTCTGATAAACACTGACGCGCACACTTCTTCGTGCACGTGCCCAACCATTTGTGCACGTTACACTCCTAGGACTGGAAGACCACCGATGATTTTCAAGGATCCAGTCTTGCAAAGGAGCAGCTTAAAGATGTCGAATTGCTTTCTGGCTTTTGTTATCTGCCTCCCTTCCCCCCAGTCACTGTCCAGCTGCCAGTGGGCTTCACTGCGCATCCTACTCCTCCTACTGCTTCAACTTTTCACAGGTTTACTAGTTAAGACTCCAAATCAAACCCAAATCCTTTGCTTGTGTTAAATGATCCAACTTGAGTCTTGTCTCCCACCACCCTCCTTCTTGCAGCTTCCCTGGCTTCCTTTCAGATCCTCAAACACACTTCTAATCTTAGGAACTGCGTACCTGCCCCTCCTTTGGAAATCTGCCTCTTCTTAACGCCCTCCACAAATTTGCAGGTCACTGATTACAGAGGCTTCCCCTGCCCACCCTATTGTACACTATGTTCTCGATCAATATCCTCTACTTTTTGCCTCCACAGCTTCAACTCAAATTGTCATTGCCCATTGAGCTCTTTGTGGCTTTTCTGACTCCTATTCCCACCAAATTGCGAGCTCCATCAGGGTGGGGACCACTTTTGTGTATGTCCCCAGAGCCCATCATTCTGTCTGACCAGTAATGTCCTCAGGAAACACCTATCTAATAAATAAATGAACCTACAGGTCACATATGACCAGAGCTGACCACCAGACAGCCTATGTGAGCAAGGTTCCCATGGAGGACCTACCTCAGCAGGGGCTTCCCAATGACCCCCCGCCAAGTCTGTGAAGTTCATTTAAGACACATACCTAGGTGTAGCTCCCACCACCAGGAACCACTTATATCTATGTGAGCCCAAAGTCTGATCTGAACTAGAAAGAAAATACCCAGCATAGATGGATCTAGAAGGAACTCAGTGACCTACACTTTTGCCTGGCTTAGGGAGCTTCCCAACTTGGGATCTATGAAAACCAGCCCTACCACATTTAGCTTTCACAATGAGAAGATGAAGGTTGTACACTTTAAGCTCCCATGCTGTATTACTTCTCTGCGGAAAGGAGGAGAAGGAGGAGGAGGAGGAGGAGGAGG